AATTAGATAAATAAAAATTTAAAAAAAATAATCTATGGTTGTGCCCTGTCCCCGCCCTAGGACTGAGAAGAGAAGTGGAGGAAAGGCATGCAAGTGAAGCAGTCTCTTGGACCGCACAGGGCTGGTGTCGTACCGCATGCAGACATCAACTACTATACAATTTGTGGAATCAACCATGTTTAGTCAAATAGAGTTTTCATTTAAATGATGCTTTGCTAATTTTAAGTATGAAGCATTCTGCATTAAAGTGTTCATGTAATTAAAAAAATATATTGCTGGATGGATAAAATCTTTCTTAAATGTTTAAAATCATAAAGGTAGGGGAAGGGGAAATAAGAAAATTTTAATAAGCCCAACTAAAGCACTGAGTATAAATTAGTGGGTGTGGCTACTGAGTAGCTATATTCAGGGGACGGTCAACTATATCTGTGCTCCTGGGAGAAAAGAGGAGGGAGCAGAAAGCCCACCACTCCCCAAAACAAAACTGAACAAGTGGACACTCTCTAAAAGGAACTAAGAGATACAGAGTAAATGGCTCAAAAATAAAGAGAAAGTTTGGGAGCTCTAGTGGCCTAGTGGCAAGAAGCTGTGCTGCAATCCTGAAGGTGCGTAGTTCGAATACACGATATGCTCCACTGGAGAAGGAGGGGTATTTTCCTCCTGTGCCAGTCAGGTACACAACAAGAAAGGGGGGGGGGAAGATAAAGTTCAAACTCAAGGATTATGGGGATAAAAAGTAATGAGGTACACTGACCTAAGCTGCTGAAGATATTTCTATATGACCTCAGGAGTCTGCAGGCTGAGGTATAACAAGGTTTCAAGTGCCACCATATGTCCACCTAACATTGTCCCTCCAGTGAGGGAGACAGGTGGCAAGCACATGAAATGGTTACTGAAGAAAAAACTATGGTTCTCTTAACAGGAACAACAGACAGCAAATGTCAGGAGACGGAGGAACAATGGTCACAAGAGTGGGCTCTATTCAGAAGGAAGAGGAGGACCACAGGTGGAGAGGACTGGGCAGCCTAGCCATGGTGGAGAGGACAGATGCTGAAGTGCAGGGAGATGAAGGGGTACAACCTGAAATTTGTTTTTTACTGACTGAAAGCAGCCTCCCCTGTACCTGATAAATGATCAGCAGGTACCCTAACACTCTTTCCAATCTCCCAGAAAACTAAAGGAGATAACTTGCTATTATCTCCCAGGCTATGGGTGGGGATAAACACTAACAACCATTAATGTGTTTATTCATAATTGAATTGCTATGAACTCATGAGGTCAAAATTCAAACAGCACACACAGATATTAGTGAAGAGTCATGTTCCCTTCCACGGTGGTCTGCATGCTCCAATGTTCCAAGGTCTTTTAAGACATGATCTGTTTCTCAGGACAAACTAAAATTTGGTCCTTTCCTTCTTTACAGACTTCTCACCTTTCTGGCCATGACCAGGCCGGACGGCTTGTGGGAGACTTTGAACACCACACCTCCATTGCCGGCACCCAGCTCACAGATCTTCTCAAAGTCATCATCTTTCAGTTCTCCCACCTTCTGCTTCTGAGTCAGAAAGGCCTCAAGGCGCTTACGCTGCTGTTCGTCAAGTTCCAGCTCCTCCAGCTTCTTCTGCAGGGCCTCCAGGTTGGTTCTGTCCCAAAGAAGGAGCACAGAGGTCAATACTGTCACCAGAGACATTGACCCAGAGGAGCATGCCCTATCTGTGGGAGCTGGGCTTGAGATATACAAAGTGAGAAAAAAAATCCAGAGAAGTCGACTAAAATGAGGAGGGGCCCCTCCGTCTTCATGCAAGCTGCCCCGTGTCAATCCTCACCAGCACACGACCTTACAGGGCCTGTTTCCCCATTAGCAAACTGTGGGGGTCAGACAAGTCTATTCCTTTAGGAATAAAAGAATCAACTAAAATCTAGAGTAAGCCACCTTAATTTGCTTTGAAACCTCAGTTTCAAAAGCCCAGATGAAGCTGACTTTTTTAATGAAAACATAATCTTTATTTTAGCAATTTGGCTACTATCCAAGTCCTTACACTTGTAATCATTTGTTAGTTTATAGATGGTAAAAATCAATTTAGGTAATCTAACTCAATATGAAGGAGACAGACTTTCAAAGGTTTCAAGTGAAACTTTCAATCCTTCCCAAAAGGCAATCCAGGTTCTTCGTCACTCTTTAATCTAGGCCTTTAATTTGACATATCAACAAATAAAAGACTCAGCTGAGGAACTTCTCTGAAGCCAATTTTATTAATCTTATATCTTATTAACATTGGACTTGTGATCAGGAGGGGCCAGTCACTGGAAAAGGGCATCGTGCCTGGAAAAGTAGAGGATCAGCAAAATACAAGATCCTCTACAAGATGGACACACTTAGAGCAACAATGGGCTTTCAGCGCAGCAGGGATGGCAAAGGTGGAGGGGGACTAGGGAGAGGTTTGTTCTCTTGTACACAGACAGGGTCACGATGAACATGAGCTGACTCGACAGAACCTGCCAATCATGTTACACAAAATAGATTCTATTTCCTAAAACCGCTGCACTGAAACCAAACCAAATCGCCAAGACTGCTTCTCCACTACAGCACAGCAGCAGAAATCCACACGTCAAACAGGACGAGGTCCAGGGATCAGGTTATTCACAAAGTTAGATGCAGGAATCCTAAAAATTACAGACCCCAAATGTTTTCTTTGGCATATAACATATTTACATTATTCCTCTCATCTTTTAGCACAAGACGAGGACTTTCCTTTGAGTAAAAGTGTAGTGGCAAGAAGCTTTCTTCACAGGAACTGGAACATAATACCTTGTG